TGGAGAAGATTACTATAGGTACCGCTGTTACAATTGCCCTGCTCGCTTTTCTGTGACGTTTAAGGGCGAATGTTACGAGATTGGGAATGCGTTTCTGTGGCATTCGCACAGTTTTCACGTTGGGAAGCCCTGGCTGTATGTGAGAAATCGGAGGCTAACAAGAGATCAGGAACGCATGTTGCTGAACTTGATGGAAAAATTTCGTCGGACCCAGGAGGTGTGTGCACTTGTGCGGCAGCAATATAACATTCGTTTAACAAGGCGGGATTTGTATGACATACGGCGGCGTCATCGTAACGCTTGTGTCACCGAGGTGGAGGAGGTAACACAGCTGTTGCAAAGAAATGGTCAGGTTAAAATTATGCATGAGGGGAATGAGATTAGGTACTTGTTTTTCGTCCCTTCGCGGTCCGACACCCGATCACAGCCCTACATCGTTTTCCTGCTGCTGGCGCGGGTTCCCTCCCACCTGCACCATTTAAGGCTGGAGGTGAGGTCCTCTGCAAAGCACTGACCTCCTTAGTCGGAGGTATCTGGAAGCAATAAATTGTTCCGGGTAATTGGAGTGAATGGATTATAGTGGCAATATACAAAAAGCGCAGTCGCACAGACTGTTCCAGCCGAAAGTGGCATTGTTCTGTCCTGCTTACCATGAAACGCTCTTTTGCAGACGATATCCTTGACATGCTCGTAACATTGCTGGTCCATCCTGATTTCTCTTTCACAGCCAATGCGATATGCGCCGCCCATTGCCTTCCGACATCACATTTCCCCTTATCCTCCTCTCACTTACTGCCGCCGCCATGTTATGCGGCATGTATACCTAGCCACAGGTAACATAGAGCTTCCATGCTCACTTTTCTTTCAGAGCCGCAGTGACATGCACCGCCCACTGCCTTCCGACCTCACGTAGCCTCTGATCCTCCACCCACGTACCGCCGCCGCCGTGTGATGCTGCAATGATACCTGGCCACAAGTAGCATTCCCCGTCCATCCTGATTTCTCTTTCAGATCCTCTGTGACGTACCTGCATTCGCCGTCTCCTACCACAGCGCCGTGTCCGGTCTTCCTTCGCCTTCCTGTTCCTCAAAGTTTCACATTCCTTAGAGAACGGAGCAACGACCCTTTTCAGGGTCACCCCTGTCTCTGTGTCTTGTCGTCCCACAACACATAAGAAGTTTGCAAACCCTGCTATTCGCTTGCGGCGGACAACAAGCTCACAGGTTTAGTGGGCGGTTCCGTAATCTTCAGACAATATATGGTGGAATTCATACATCAAGACGTGTGACGCGACCCTGCAACCTATGAAAACCACACGCTCCTCCAATAAGAACCCGGTAAGTTCACGTTATGCAACTTTTTCAACCACTAACATGCCGATGTACCGCTCCATTATTCGTAAAGCCTGTTGCTGTAGTGCACTGCCACTTAGCAATATTCGCCTCCATGCGCCCTCCTCTCCTCCAGTAACCATATTTGATGAACCATTTTTCAGTATTCACGCTTGGTGGGTGATGAGCGTTTGCAACGCTCCCCACTTAGACGAGAATATGTGCATATGGTTTAAACGTCCCATCTGCCCATCTTATATATAATCATACACCACCTTAACAACTGAATGCGTACCTCAGTAAAACTTATCCATGCGCATCCGTTACCATTATACGGAAAATACCTTGCACCAAACCTTAACCTAACAGTCATGACGTTTTGTTACTCCACCATGCAACCGGTTTTCTTTACATATATATATATATATATATATATATTTTCCACAGCACTTTCCATGCTTACACACACACAATCCATTATCTATCCATTAGTAAGGATTCTAGTCATCATGTCGATTATACGGTTACCAATTCCATGTGTAACCTTTACTGAAATTAAATCCCCACTTAGAAAACCATTTGCTAAACACCGAAGCTCTTATGTCTTGGAAAATTTATCATATATGCTTGCACTTCCTTCTTTTTACGGATACATACCGCGGCCTTCCATAAACCATTTTTATATTCTGTTTCCATTTTAACCCCTTACGTACTGTTGTATTTCAACTTCTCCATTTTTATTCAACTTTGTAATTAAGCATGGTACAGTTCAGTTTTTAGATTATTGGAGCTACTGACATATTCGCAAACACGTTGCGCAAGAAATTAACCCAATAAAACCCCTACATGTAGAGAACTCAGAAACCGGTTGTCCTGACGAACAACAGCCCGTATTCAAAATCGAGCCAGTGGCGGGCTCGATGGTCCCTAGAAATCTTCTTCAAATTCATCAAATGTCTGCGCACTAAACAAACATCCTTCCATCCATCCATACTTCCATAAAAATGTACCACCATTTCGTGTTTTTATAAATCAATATATATACCAACACACTAGCAAGTCTTCATAGTGTTTCATCACATTCCTTGATAGCACCCAGTACAGCAAGCAGTAACGCCCCCAAATTACCATCAGCTGTTTTCAATTAATCCGACGCTCTCACTTCTGGTCAGAGTGAGCTTGTTCAGATCGACTGGACATCCGTTACCGGAGGATATAACCCTAAAACAATTTTCTGCATTTAACCCTGCACAAGGTGCATGTTTAAAACTGACATGGATATAACAAAATGCATATGCTTATCTAATATGTAGAGGGGACTACATGAAAAATCCGAAAAGGTTTTGATCTTCCCTATGTGGGAATAGTCTCTCGAACCGTCGTAAAATTAAAGATTTATCTATTTATTTATATAGGCTACGCTAGTGCAGGCTTACGTTGGGACAACAACGTTGTTCTAAACGGATTTTTTCATTGCAAATGTTCGGACTGCAATTCTAGGCCTTCAATTCCTACAACACTTCAACTTGCTGGTAGTAACAAAGCACCACCTTCTGTTCTTTCACCATACACATCCGGCAGTCATAGGCACTTTGACCGACATTGAGTCAGTCAGTCCTGTAAACACCAACCATTCTAGCTCCGCCGCTGGTCGGATGCTTTTCAGTACATTTCCACAAGTCTCCGGCTACGGCATTGGTGCTACCCGCAAGTGGGGCTAACAAGCATCACATCGTTAGCAAGGGCCCTCCTGTGTTCGCGAAGGCCAGGCGAATGGCCACCGGAATTGCTGAAAATTGCTTACTCACAATGCAAACATATGCTTGAACTAGTCATTCTTCCCCCGTCCAAAAGTCCGTGCATGTCGCCACTTCAAACGGCGCCTAAAAGGGCGGGAGATTAGTGCCCATGTAGCGGTCAGCTTGCAATTAATGCCATAACAGTTCCCGGCGGCTATCCTATTCCGCACCTTCAGGACAGCACGGGAGGCTTACGTGGCACCAGTGTGAGCTCGAGAATCGATCGGGTTCGTGCTTATCACAAAATCCCAGCCGCTGGGGAAGGGATACTAAACACTGCTGTAATCAAGCCATTTAAGCAGTTAGAATTTTTGCGCATGCCCTTCGGTCTTCTCAACACAACCCAGACCTTTCAACAATTCTTAGATGCCGTCAATAGATGTCTCTATTTCGTCTATCCATATATCGACGATGTCCTAGTAACAAACGCCTCTGAATAACAACCACAGAAACACCGGAAGGTCCTTTTTCATATGTTAGCTGCTAATAGCACCATTGTTAATGCCAACAAATGCATTTTACAGTAGCTATCCTTAGAAACGCTTCGACACTACATCGATCAACATTGTATAAAGTGTCCAGACAATAGTGTCCGTGCAAGCAAAAACTATATATATATATATATATCATCTTCTATGGGCTATAGATCTGTGGCTCTAAAACATTCTTTTTATCCTCAGAAAGCTAGAGGACTTAGCGTCTGAAAAGAAGCTGAGTTGCAGCATTTGCCAGCACTTGATAGACGACTCACGACATTGT